GGATATCCTACATATCCTTTCCTCTTTAGCTTTGTGGTCGAAATGATCATGAACGGCTGTTCTTTCAGACTTTTCCTGAGTGGAAGTTCTGCCAGGTGACCGACTGACAAACCCTCAGTACGCGAACTACAGTCCTCCTAAGGTCTGACGCAATGACTGTGCTAGCATGACTGAACAGATTGACGCGTCGACATGTGCTTTGTACCTTCAAAGTCTAAAGTACTTTTCAGGACTGAACCGATATAACACTGGTTCTAGATCTCAGAACATACACACTGGTAGTGGTATATTGGTCTGTATACCTTGGTAGCTGTGTCACTTTTGGCGGTCACACCACTGAGGAATTTACTTCGCGTATTAGCAACGACCGCGTAGCTTTCAAAATACTCAACCATCTATATAAATACGACGGAAAATCAGCCTGTCAGTGAAAGGTATTGTGTTACTGTGTGGATCAGAGACCTGGCCAGTTTACAATGAAGAGGTTGAACGCTTGTTCGTGTTTGACTACCGGTGCTTGCGGCGCATTGCTGACAGCTGCTGAAAAACAGCGGGTGAGGAAGGCTGAGGTCCGGCAGTTGGTTTCGGGTAGGGAACCCTCCGGTGCCTCACTCGAGTGTTTGTTGAATCCTAACCGCTTACCTTGGCTAGGTCATCTCGTCCGTATGGCCGTTGATCGCGTTCCTCGGCTTACACCATATGCCGTCGCTCCACCAAGTTGGGTGAAATCGCAAGGTGGCCAGACGATGACGTAGCATGAATCCATGAAGAAATTGACTAAAAGCTTGGTCAAACCGATGTTGCCATCTTCGTGGTTGGATGTCTCTGGATGATCCTCACCAGTGATCGGTGACTCCATTGGACTTGACGCAATCGCGTAGTCAGTGACACTCCTGCATTCAGTTTCTTGCATCTAGGTGTTAAGCTTCCATCCCGATTAGTTTTGCACACTTTTTCCTTAATTCCTTTTTCTGCTCGCGTTCTACCTCATTTTCTTATCATTGTTAGTGGTTGTTAATCTGGCAACATGAATCTCGGGAGCTGGATCTTGCGCAGATCGGTGGCTGGATCAAGTGAAACTGCATTATGCACCCCAAGACTCTAGCAATATTCCGCACCTTTTTGTCACGCGAGTATTTTCTCCTCACGCACGTTTAAGATGCTTTTTCTGGCAAACATCTGCAATGTTAGTCTACTGTCCTTTCACGCACTTTTTGAGTGTTTCCCAGTGGACAGGATGCGTAAATTCTTGCATGAATTTCATGGGAAAATCTGTTGGTTGCGCGCCGGTTACGTGATTTCGACACTTTGGTATTCTTCCATCGTAGAACACGGGCTAGCTTTGGTTGCAATCAAGCTCCCACGGACCGCTGGTATGCGTTTCCTGGATGGCATCTTCATAGTTTGTCGACGTTTATTTAACGCGCAACTGTATCCACTTTCCTCCACACTACAATATCCCCTTTCCGGTTCATGCTTCGAGAGTGCAAATGCACCTCACTTATTTCGATTTCAACTCACATTGCATGTTGATGTCATGCACTCTTGAGCAACGGCGGATGAGTGTTTGGGGGTCACCGCTGTGCCAAGCGTTGCTCACGGATCTCAGTCGCCGAACATTAAGTCCCAAGGACGAACTTGTCGTCGGGTGCATTGTTGGAAATGAATGACACCGAGACTCCTCAAGTTTGTTCTAGTACACTGCGTCCAGTTTTCAATTACTCGGGCGTTTACACATCAATACTTTATGTACGTCCGTACAACACTTAATTCGCTTAACGCGTCTGTCTTATGTTTCGACGGAAAGTTTTCACATTTGTAAGTCCGTCTTCTCGTTCAGGTGATTCAGTCTCTTTGCAGTTATCACTGTGGCAGTCAAACTAAACGATTTCATCTACTGCTTCACACATTTTTCCATCAACCATTTGCTTGCGACCAGTCGCTAACCCCCGTCTACGTAGTTATGCTCAAATCGCTCGTGCTTTATAGAGCACCTTTCGCTTTCCTATACAGGTTGTTCTGAATATTTGCTTACGACCTTATATTGTGAACATTTGGAGCCGCGTCGTGGTAGTAATTGAACCACTCTCGTCACACGTTAACTACTGATGTGGTCAATAGTAACCAATCCTTCAGTTTGATTTTTAAAGCCCTACATTTCTATTATCCAACGAATGGATTTTATTGCTCCTGTTAACCTATTGTGCATTATTTTACGCACAGTTTAGTTATGTGCGCATTAAGACTGTTTTTGGAGTACCGAGTGAGAATGCATGCCTGCGTTCCATCTTCCGTCGTAAGGTCACCCGCTACACTATAACATTACACGACACGCAGTCCGCAGTTATATTTCAATTTGTCTCGCTTGACAAATAGAGTGGTTCATATTTTGCTGCGCTCATGAATGCATATTTCATCCTTGTATACATCTGAAAGAATGAAGCTTAGTTAATCTTGACTAATTATGGCGTTCCTCACTGTGCTTCGCTTCTCTTTGTGCTTGTTTAGCGTTTGCCTGTCAGCCGTTCTAGTCAATGCATCACGTTCCGTTTCGACAACGGTGTTTTCTTAACTCTGCGCACCAGCGGCACGGAGCCGAAAATCAAATTCTACTCGGAGCTGCGTTCTAAGCCAGATGATGGGTACGTCTTCACGCTTTGTCGCCTCTAACAATAAATAGCTTTGCGCACGCTATGTTTCTCTTGAAATATCGATCATGCGAACCTGTGTTTAGCTATCTCCTATATCTTACGACTCTAAAGTCGATGTATTGCCTCTCCTGCACATGATTTTTGCATGATCTGAAGCCGGAATTAGCCTATTTGGTAGGCAGTTTCTTCTCCAAAGCAGAATCCGCCCCAACCAACACTTAAGAGGCTCAAATATCAGAGGTCTAGCTCCTTATTCCACCAATCTCTGGTGTCGCCAGCACCTATGGGCACCGATGATAGCCTCCTTTGTACCCGCCAGTGATCGTTGACACAAATTCATTCACCCAGGGACATGTATGGGCTGATTTCATCACTATCAAGTTATGACTGCAACCACTTATGAAACATAACTCAGTTAAACGGTTTTTAAACTTTATCGAACTTTTTTTTCTTATCTTCGGATCGTTTCTCTTACAATCGATGACGTTTCTGGTTACTAACAATGTAGATAACAGAGGACCTCCGCAGTTGCCTCCTTCAAACTACCTTTTCTTCCAACTGTCCATCGCTGTTTAAATGGCTGATGCACCACTGTTTTCGATGACGAATGTTAACTTGTTTCTTTCCACACCTTCAGGCGATCCGAAGCATCATTGACTGAGGAGTTGTCTGAACTCATTGACCTTATGGTGAAAGAGTTCTACCAACCAGAGAAGAATGGTTTTGCAGCCAGACCCTCTTAACTGCGTGTTGATTTCAGCTCATGGGCTGTGACCGACTGATCCACCTTGTTGAACTCTACTTCGTGGACTACAGCATTTCGATTCTTGTTTTATCCAGGTTCCGGCATCCCTTCCACCATTATCCCCCTATTTCTGCAACCTATGACTTCACTGCGACAAATGTGCGTTTTTGCACACTTGCTATTTTTTTTCTAATCTCTTACCCACTTGTTTGATTCGATTTTACCACCATTCCGTATTTTTCATACATCGTTAACCACTTTTGTTAGGGATAATTACAAATCATGGAATGTCCATTTGGCTGTTGCGTCCATTTTTCGCAGGTAATTCGTTTGGCCCCACAGAGCACTACTAGAACTTTAAGTAATCAGTGTGACTTGTGTGAGAGACACTGTCTGGACTATCTAACGCTAACAGTGTTGGAACAAATAAACAACTAATTTATACGGGTTGAGAAACACTGTTTTACAAGTCCTCTTGGGTATTTTGGTGAGGTTATCGAATAAAACTCTCAGTACTTTAAGTATGAAGAAAGGACTTTCATTTGTTTTACTGTAGTCCTGCAATCCGCGTAGTTACACTGCACCAACAGGTAACAGCAGATAAATCGTAGGTGTATCCCAGGCGTAGGATGGAGACGTAGTGCTAAGCAACAAAGTGTATGTGGCATAGTACGTCATCTAACCGTCATTTAAATATTGCTAGTGTCTGTGATGAGACGACCGATTCGGGGAGAACGTTCCACTGGTGTTCTATGCGCATTGACAATAAACTCCAGACGGTTATACTGTTCTGTGAGTTTCAGCTAGTGACCTTTCAAGTTTGTGTTCCTGATGAGTTGCAGTAAAGAGTGGCACACAATTTTGGTTGTGTAAAGTCAAGTATGCCATTATCAGGTCGCCTCAAAGTCGGCGATACCGCCCGCTGAATACTCCCAAACCTTTCAGCTTCTGCTCGTATGGGTGGTGGCTCATCCCAATGACGTATTTGGAAGCTCGACTTTGAGGTTGATCCAGTGCAGTGTGGCCGTGCTTCAGCCACGGGTGCCAGACTTGAATTACCTATTCGACGTGGGGGCGAACATACGTATTGAGCATCTGCCTAAAAATGGCGGTGTCTGTTTGTCCGAACGCCTGTCGCAACAGCCCGATGTGTTGGTTACCAGCTTTCGTGGCCTTTTCGGATTGCCTGGAACAACCGAAGTCTTCCTGATCCGGGACCCCCAGATCACGTTCGACGGAAGCTCGCTACAATACATGCGTTCCGAACCTGTATGAGTAATTGCTCTGGTGTCGTAAATAATAAAAATAATCTGTCAGCTGTACGCCATAACGGCGCCTCGCTGCCACGTGACCACCAGTCGCTGAGTATACCGCGAGGACGCCCACTCCTACGCGGATTCGAACCGGTGACCTTATGGTTGCAAACCAAACGCGCAGACCACTCGGCGACCAGCCGACTGCCTTACATTTACTTACATTGAAATGCCGTAAATTTTAGATCGACCTCCGACTTACCATGTCTAGGTCATTCTGAAGCGGATGCTACTCGATATTCGCCCGAACCCTGTGCCAAATCTTGATGTCGACGGTGAACAGTAGGAAATTGCATTTGCGATATCATTACTAAATACAAAAGCAGTCGTGGACCTATAACTGAACTTTGCGGCACGCCACAGGGCTTGTATTGGGTCAGCTATTGAGCTGTGAACCCTGACCACTAATTGCAGTCGGAAGAGAAGGTAGGTGATCCAGCTTAGATGCTGGTCACCGATCTCGTAATACTGGAGCGTAGGAAGGAGTATCCGATGCTTTAGACGATCGAGTATCCACAAATATCCAAGTAGATCACATCAACCTCCTCTCCAGCGTCAGCTAATGCGCTTTAACTACTCCGTGCAATTAGTAAATTCGTTGTGCATGATCGTTATCGGCGGAAGCCGTGCTGTTTGGGAGTCATAATGTTACAGCTTTCTAGATAGCATACCGGCGTATCGGCAATCATGGATTCCATAACTTTGGAAAGCATAAGAAGAAGAGGTCAGTTTGCTTTCCGCATTTATCCATCACGGTTATTATTCCTAGCTTCCACATAACGGGAATCTGATTCTGGTCTAAACTGGAAGAACTGAGCCAAAGATTCTGCCAGTTGTCTTGTTGCTGCTCCCATTGCCTCTGGGCGAGTGATATCAACACCCGGGAGCTGTATTTGCACAGAGACAGTGTTCAAGGCAGCTTCGGCGGTAGAACAGATGTGAGTGAGTCCTGGCGATGCGTCAACAAAAGCTGGAAGATCGCTTAATGGTAAACCCCTCTGAAACAGAAGCATATTGCGTCCGCAACCCGTTTAATGCTTCTGTAGCCGTTCTTGCCTTGCCATCGGTCTTCTTGAGTAGAGGAAATCGTTGTCTCACCTTAAGCTACTGACGTGTTTGTATAGCAGTTTGTGGTCACCACTTTAGTTTTTCGTGAGGTCCTGTTGATATGCGGGTTTGTCTTCTATGAGCAGTTGAGTGCAGTGATTACGTTCGGTTACGTAGTTGTCAGGTGTTGAATCTAATTTCTACGCTCGCCATGTTACATTGTGTACTGCCATTCATTTCCGAGTTCTGACCCTTACGAACGAGTCCGTTTTAGACGCATTGGAAACCGTTATCTCTGAAGCCTGTGTAATCAGGCGATGGAATTTGTTGATCAATTCCAGCCAGGCGACTTTTGCCGGGTCTTCGGCAAGGAATGATTGAGTTGTGACGCTGACGAGCTGGGCTAATCGATCGTAGCGTGTGATGGTTCGCACCATCTCATAGTTCTATTTCCGCTATTCCACATAGCGACGAAGTTGAAACTAATGACTGCATGATCACTGCAACCTAGTGAGCAGCCTGCAACCAACGCATCAATCCTATTTTCTTCGTTGCTGAGCGCAAGATCCAGCACAGATGGTTTGTTACATGTTCTGAACCGAGTGGGGAAAAGTGACGTGATTGTAAAGCGGTGCATTGGTTACGGACTCCTGCAGATCGGCTTCGCATTGTTCTGCGATCGTGGCAGGGGTTTCTAAACAATGTACATTGAATTCACCCATTATAAGGATGTGAATGTGAATTCCCTTAAGAGTTCGTCGTCGAACAATCGCGAGGTGGCAGTCCGTTCCGGGTGCGTAGTCAAGGGACTGTACGCCAAGGCTGAGGCGTGCTTCTGCCTTTTAACTGCAGAGAAAATTGGGGAACTGCGAGTTTGAATCCTCTATGGCCTCGCGCTGTAAGTTGCTTCGGTAGCACGGAATTACACCTTTTCTGAGCCTATCGTTCCCGATGAGCGACATTCCCGGTAGCGAAACTTCAACGTCCGTCATTCCCGTGTGTAGCCACGTCTCAGTTATACCGATGGTGTCATATAGCTCTGAAAATTAGTGATCTTCCAGTTCAGCTAGCTTATTGAAAACGCTCTGAGCATTCGTATGCGAGTACGCTAGTTTCTCGATCTCTAGGACCCCACTGGGGATTAAAGGGGTCAGGTGTGGATGAATGCCGACTGATGTGATGTCGGCCGTTACTCTATTTTCGATGGGATACATATCTCGTCTGTAACTTGCATTGACCGATGTGCCAATGCCTGGATTTCATGGGTAACTGATCGAAACAATCTCTGGAGCGCAATGAGATGGATCAACTCAAAGTATCTCATTGTTTAAAATTACTTCAAATTGTCATCACGAACTCAAGAGATTATTTTCTCGGCTTTTCATTGTTCTATTTGTACACACTGTGGGCCATGCTGTGTCACGTAAATTTTCAGCTCTACTTCGGTAACTTATGCATTTGCTTGGTTTAATTTCCTTTTTACACACTATTAGTGCGGTAAAATGTGACATCACGATTATCCTTGCAGTTGGTTGCATCTCATGTTATCGAGTAATATAATACATCCACCCAGCCCATCTAGGTGGTCCAATCTGACTGGAGTTTAGGGTGAGAATCCTAGGGTTAGTCGGTGATTACATATTTGTGTGGAGCGCTTTACAACGTATCGGCGTTATTGCCTATTCTTTTGTTTCGCGCAGATTTTTCTATGACGTGTGTAACATTCTGGAGCGGGTTATTCCAATTGGTTATCCGATTTACTGTACATCTGAAAAACATCTGGACCGTTAAGCGAAGACAAAGTCCCGATCTCTGTCACGATTTCGATTAAGTGCTTCTGTCCATCTATTTGATCCCGTTCTGCTCAGTATGCCATTTGGCTCTCCAGCTTGGCTACTATTAGTTTCAAACTGCTTATTTGATTATCGGCATCCTTTACTTCGCGGTGTCACTGAATTTTAATGCCGCACATCACCACAGGTTAAGTTCTGTTTGAATTCTTTAGTCAGCGAGCTGGATGCCTTAACGACAGAGAATTACCCTAAAATGAACCGTGATCCCAACTGGGATCACAGTCCGAACACACAATAGGTACTCCAAAATCCTCCGACCAACTGTTGTGTCAAGTGTTGGTCGCGGAACTCAATTGCCCAGTAAGCTGCCAACCAGTGTTTTACTCCTTGTTCCATCTCTACCTGAATTGTCTAGACAATGACAGTCGCGGAGTAGAGTTTTGGCAGCAAATTTCGCGGAAGCAGCCCAGTACAATTTAATTGAATAATTATGATCGGGGCAGCGAAGTGCGGTGGATTCCTTTTGCAATACTCACGTCGCCAGTGTAACAATAAATAATAACGGTAAAAAAGAGGCCGAATGGAAATATAGTACAAGAAAAATGGAATCAGAACATGCCTGAAACTAATCAATATAGAAATTAACGGCTAGCTAGAAGAAATCGAATGCAGGAAGCCCAATGATCACGCCATGTCCGATAGTCTCTAACCATTGATTTGGGTCATCCTGCTGCGTCCTCGTGCAGGAAAATAAAGCGCAATAGCTTGCAGCCCAAAGTACTACATTTCTAATACAGGCTCAATGCTGCTGATGGCCGAAGCCTATTTAAACTTAAGTTGTGGTCACAATTGCGCTTGTTCGTCCCAATTTGACCACAGTGAGACTCCGGTATCCAACAATACACCTCTGCGTTTACGAACAATGATTTATCATGGGAGAAAAACAAGTGCTTGTCGCGTCCCATAGGATGGTTGGGGTGAATACGATGAAATCAAAATATATGTGAGTCATCTACTGAGCGTTTACCGAATGGATGCGTTGCCAAATAACAGCGTAAAATAAAAATCAAGTGTAAGCATACTGAAATACACGGTGTGCAGTGATCGTTGATGTAAAGTGTGAGAAGACTAAAATATGGTCTCTCACTCATGTGCTTCCTCCTTACGTTCATGTGATACTTAAATTCTGTAGAAGGGCATGATTAACGTAATCCACAATGGCGTAGTTTAGGTAACAAAGTGCTGGGAGCTAAGAAAAATATTCAATAGTTTTTTGAAAATTTCAGGGTAGGGGTGGATACA